CTTGTTTAAACAGTTTTCTATAGAAAATTGTCTTTAAAAAGTTTTCTATAGAAAAGTGTCTTCTTTAAACAGTTTTCTATAGTAAAGTGTCTTCTTTAAACACTTTTCTATAGAAAAATGTCTTCTTTAAACAGTTTTCTATAGAAAAGTGTCTTCTTTAAACAGTTTTCTATATTAAAATGTCTTTTTTAAACAGTTTTCTATAGAAAAGTGTCTTCTCTTAACAGTTTTCTATAGAAAAGTGTCTTCTTTAAACAATTTTCTGTAGAAAAGTGTCTTCTTCAAACACTTTTCTATAGAAAAGTGTCTTCTTTAAACAGTTTTCTATAGAAGTGTCTTCTTTAAACAGTTTTCTATAGAAAAGTGTCTTCTTTAAACAGTTTTCTATAGAAAAGTGTCTTCTTTAAACAGTTTTCTATAGAAAAGTGTCTTCTTTAAATAGTTTTCTATAGAAAAGTGTCTTGTTTAAACAGTTTTCTATAGTAAAGTGTCTTCTTTAAACAGTTTTCTATAGAAAAGTGTCTTCTTTAAACAGTTTTCTATAGAAAAGTGTCTTCTTTAAACAGTTTTCTATAGAAAAGTGTCTTCTTTAATCAGTTTTCTATAGAAAAGTGTCTTCTTTAAAAAATTTTCTATAGAAAAGTGTCTTCTTTAAACAGTTTTCTATAGAAAAGTGTCTTCTTTAAACAGTTTTCTATAGAAAAATGTCTTCTTTAAACAGTTTTCTATAGAAAAATGTCTTCGTTAAACAGTTTTCTATAGAAAAGTGTCTCCTCTAAACAGTTCTCTATAGCAAAGTGTCTTCTTTAAACAGTTTTCTATAGAAGTGTCTTCTTTAAACAGTTTTCTATAGAAAAGTGTCTTCTTTAAATAGTTTTCTATAGAAAAGTGTCTTCTTTAAACAGTTTTCTATAGAAAAGTGTCTTCTGTAAACTGTTTTATATAGAAAAGTGTCATCTTTAAACAGTTTTCTATAGAGAAGTGTCTTTTTTAAATAGTTCTTTATAGAAAAGTGTCTTCTGTAAACGGTTTTTCATAGAAACGTGCCTTCTTTAAACAGTTTTCTATAGAAAAGTGTCTTCTTGTAACAATATTCTATAGAAAAGTGTCTTGTTTAAACAGTTTTCTATAGAAAAGTGTCTTCTTTAAACAGTTTTCTATAGAAAAGTGTCTTCTTTAAACAGTTTTCTATAGAAAAGTGTCTTCTTTAAACAGTTTTCTATAGTAAAGTGTCTTCTTTAAACACTTTTCTATAGAAAAATGTCTTCTTTAAACAGTTTTCTATAGAAAAGTGTCTTCTTTAAACAGTTTTCTATATTAAAATGTCTTTTTTAAACAGTTTTCTATAGAAAAGTGTCTTCTCTTAACAGTTTTCTATAGAAAAGTGTCTTCTTTAAACAATTTTCTGTAGAAAAGTGTCTTCTTCAAACACTTTTCTATAGAAAAGTGTTTTCTTTAAACAGTTTTCTATAGAAGTGTCTTCTTTAAACAGTTTTCTATAGAAAAGTGTCTTCTTTAAACAGTTTTCTATAGAAAAGTGTCTTCTTTAAACAGTTTTCTATAGAAAAGTGTCTTCTTTAAATAGTTTTCTATAGAAAAGTGTCTTGTTTAAACAGTTTTCTATAGTAAAGTGTCTTCTTTAAACAGTTTTCTATAGAAAAGTGTCTTATTTAAACAGTTTTCTATAGAAAAGTGTCTTCTTTAAACAGTTTTCTATAGAAAAGTGTCTTCTTTAATCAGTTTTCTATAGAAAAGTGTCTTCTTTAAAAAATTTTCTATAGAAAAGTGTCTTCTTTAAACAGTTTTCTATAGAAAAGTGTCTTCGTTAAACAGTTTTCTATAGAAAAATGTCTTCTTTAAACAGTTTTCTATAGAAAAATGTCTTCGTTAAACAGTTTTCTATAGAAAAGTGTCTCCTCTAAACAGTTCTCTATAGAAAAGTGTCTTCTTTAAACAGTTTTCTATAGAAGTGTCTTCTTTAAACAGTTTTCTATAGAAAATAGAAATAGTTCTTTATAGAAAAGTGTCTTCTGTAAACGGTTTTCCATAGAAACGTGCCTTCTTTAAACAGTTTTCTATAGAAAAGTGTCTTCTTGTAACAATATTCTATAGAAAAGTGTCTTGTTTAAACAGTTTTCTATAGAAAAGTGTCTTCTTTAAACAGTTTTCTATAGAAAAGTGTCTTCTTTAAACAGTTTTCTATAGAAAAGTGTCTTCTTTAAATAGTTTTATATAGAAAAGTGTCTTGTTTAAACAGTTTTCTATAAAAAAATGTCTTCTTTAAACATTTTTCTATAAAAAAGTGTCTTCTTTAAACAGTTTTCTATAGAAAAGTGTCTGCTGTAAACAATTTTCTATAGAGAAGTTTAAACTCTTGCCAGACAAGAGTTGATTCATTTCACGTCTGACTGGTTTAGATTAAACTCTAGTCTAGTATATTCAAATCTGGTCTGACTAGAGTAGATTAATGTCTGAATAGAACAAATTTATCTATTTATATACTTACTACTTCTGCATCTCTTTTAGATATCGTAGTGGCGAATTGCTACATGAGGCAGACTTGGAAAATCCCGACAATCCCATATTACGTACACACGGCTCCAACGATCCAGCTTCACCCAATGCTCAGGGACGTTTGCGTTTACCCTATGGTGGTTTGGGAGGTTATGTCATTGAACTTGGTAATCCCAGTGAGTTTGTATCGACAGCTGCTGCCACAGATGCTGCCCTACGTATAGCCAGTGATATAATTGGATCAACACTCGCCCATGCTGATGAACTAACACGTTCGAACAGTAATAATACGCCCTCCACTTCAGCCAATGCCTATCAAAATCATCTTCATCATACACTAAACCAGCCAGAAACTTCTTTAAATTCATCCAATAGTGAGGCTAATGTAAATGATTTAGCACATCTTAACACTTATTCAAATGCAATACCTGTCACGGCGAACAGCAATACAGCTGCTAATGGTTTAAATTTATTATCAAGCAATAGTACTAATGGTGGTGGTGTAAATATTTCACGTGAAAGAGGTAGCCGTGAATTACTGGGAGCTGCTGAAGACTTACTGGGCGCTACACAACGTGTTATAGCTACCGCTGATCAGCCCACTATAGATTTATTTGAACAAACTTTAAATGATTTTCATGCTTTAACTTTACGCAATATACACGATTCTAGTGATGATGATAATGATGCTGAACAGCAGCAGCAGCAGCAACAAACACATTCTACTCCTACTGGCCAAAGGTCTTCTTCACATTCATATAATCAGGATAATCCCTAAATCTAAATGCAATTCGTACTTAAAAGCGAACTAAAATAAATTAGCCCCTTCCCTCCCAATCTCATCTCATCATCCTATAAATAATATTTAACTATAACTACAATAATATTATAAAAATTAATTAAAAAGAAAAAAAGTATAAAACAGCAAAGTATTCCTTACAACTAATAAACAAAATAAAACAATAATTATAGAAAATATATTAAACAAAATAATATTTTTGTGCAAAATAAGCAAAACTTAGAGACAACATTAAAGTAATAATAAAAGACCAGAGGTTCCTTGCTATAAAAAAATACAAAAAAAAAAAATTAAAACATAAAAAAATACATCAAAACTATATACTACCGAGTTTAGAAATTACATGTTACAACAGATTACATTATAAAAAAAAATATATATAAAAATACTTACAGTATAAAAAATGCTCTTTTTAGAAATTGTTAACAAATTAATGTTACAATTTATTAAAATTAAATTGCATATTCATTTTTTTAATTTTATTTAAACGATCAGTTTGAAATTTTAAATTGTTTAACTTGTCTCAAGTTTATTTTTTATATTTTTTTAATTTTAAGCCTAAAAGTATGCTATTATTTGTTGAATTTGTTTTAATTTTATAGACAGAAGTGTGAATTATTGAAATCTTTAGTTCAGATTGTTTAGAAATTTATCTATAAAAAACCAGCTAACTAGAAAAGTGTTTTCTGAAAACAATTTTCTATAGAAATGTGTCTTCTTTAGAAAATTTTTTATAGAAAAGTGTATTCTTTTGACAATTTTCTATAATAAAGTGTATTTTCTATAGAAAAGTGTATTCTTTTGACAACTTTCTATAGTAAAGTGTCTTCTTTTGACAATTTTGTAGAGAAAAGTGTATTCTTAAGACAATTTCCATTAGAAAAGCTTCTTCTTTAAACAATTTTTTATAGAAATGTGTATTCTTTTGACAATTTTCTATAGTAAAGTGTACTCTATAGACAATTTTCTATAGTAAAGTGTATTCTATAGACAATTTTCTATAGAAAAGTGTTTTTTTACAATTTCTATAGAAGAGTTTCTTCTTTAGACAATTTTCTATAGAAAAGTGTCTTATTTACACAATTTCCTACAGAAAAAGTGTCTTCTTTACATAATTTTCTATAGAAAAGTATCTTCTTTAGACAAGTTTCTATAGAAAAGTTTCTTCTTTGGACAATTTTCTATAAAAAAGTGTTTTCTTTAGACAATTTTCAATAGTAAAGTGTTAAAAAATTTTCTATAGAAAAGTTTCTTCTTTAGACAATTTTCTATAGAAAAGCTTCTGCTTTACCCTATTTTCTATAGAAAAGTGTCTTCTTTAGACAGTTTTCTATAGAAGAGAGTCTTTAGGCAATTTTCTATAGTAAAGTATTTTCTTTGAACAATTTTCTATAGAAGTTTCTTTTTTAGACAATTTTCAATAGAAAAGTGTCTTCTTTAAAGAATTTTCTAGAGAAAAGTGTCGTCTTTAAAAATTTTCTATAGAAGTGTGTTCTTTACACAATTTTCTATAGAAAAGTGTCTTCTTTTGACAATTTCCTATAGAAATGTTCTTCTTTACACAATTTTCTATAGAAAAGTGTCTTCTTTACACAATTTTCTATACAGAAGTGTCTTCTTTACACAATTTTCTACAGAAAATTGTCTTCTTTACACAATTTTCTATAGAAAAGTGTCTTCTTTACAGAATTTTCTATAGAAATGTTTCTTCTTTAGACAATTTTCTATAGAAAAGTGTCTTCTTTTGATAATTTTCTATAGAAAAGCTTCTGCTTTACACAATTTTCTGTAGGGAATTGTCTTCTTTATAAAGTTTTCTATAGAAAAGTTTCTTTAGACAATTTTCTATAGAAAAGCATCTTTTTTGACAATTTTTCATAGAAAAGCTTCTGTTTCACACAATTTTCTATAAAAAATTGTCTTCTTTAGACAGTTTTCTATAGAAAATTGTTATCTTTGGACAGTTTTCTGTACAAAATTGTCTTCTTTAGACAGTTTTCTATAGAAAAGTGTCTTCTTTAAACAATTTTCTAAAGAAAAGTGTCTTTAAGCAATTTTCTATAGAAAAGTGTCTTCTTTAGACAATTTTCTATTGAAAAATGTCTTGCTTAAGCACTTTTCTATAGAAAAGTGTCTTCTTTACAGGATTTTCTATAGAAAATTATCTTCTTTAGACAAGTTTCTATAGGGAAGTATCTTCTTTGGACAATTTTCTATAGAAAAGTGTATTCTTTAGACAATTTTCTATAAAAAAAATATATTTTTTAGTCAGTTTTCTATAAAAAAATGTCTTCTTTAGACAATTTTCTATAGAAAAGTTTCTGCTTTATAATATTTTCTATAGAAAAGTGTCTTCTTTAGGCAGTTTTCTATAGAAAAGTGTCTTCTTTAGGCAATTTTCTATAGTAAAGTGTTTTCTTTGAACAATTTTCTATAGAAAAGTTTCTTTTTTAGACAATTTTCTATAACAAAGTGTTTTCTTTGAACAATTTTCTATAGAAAAGTGTATTCTTTAAACAATTTTCTATAGAAAAGTGTCTTCTTTAAACAATTTTCTATAGAAAAGTGTCTTCATTACACAAATTTCTATGGAAAAGTGTCTTCTTTACACAATTCTCTACAGGAAAATGTGTTCTTTACAATTTGAAAAATTTTCTATAGAAACGTTTTTTTTTTAGACAATTTTCTATAGAAAAGTGTCTTTTCTAAACAATTTTCTCTGTGAAAGTGTCTTCTTTAGACAATTTTCTGTAGAAAAGCTGTTTTATAAACAATTTTCTATAGAAAAGTGTCTTTTATAAACAGAAGTGTGTTCATTAGATAATTTTCTATCGAAAAGTGTCTTCTTTAGACAATTTTCTATAGAAAAGAATCTTCTATAGAAAAGTGTCTTCTTTAGACAATTTTCTACAGAAAGGTGTCTTCTTTACAATATTTTCTGTAGAAAGTCTCTTCTTTAGATACTTTTCTATAGAAAAGAGTCTTCTTTTGCCAATTTTCTATAGAAAACAGTCTTCTTTTGACAATTTTCTATAGAAAAGTGTCTTTTTTACACAATTTTCTATGGAAAAGTGTATTCTTTACATAATTTTCTATAGAGAAGTGTCTTCTTTAGATAATTTTCTATAGAAAAGAAAAATTTTCTAGAGAAAAGAAAAGTGTCTTCTTTACACTATTTTCTGTAGAAAGTCTTTTCTTTAGATAGTTTTCTATAGAAAAGTGTCTTTTCTGTAGAGAGTTTTCTTAAGATTTAATTTTTGTTTGACTAGACTGATTCATCTTTAATTTGACTAGAGTAGATTAAACTCAAGTGTGACTAGATTAAACCAAACTGAAGACTGACTGGAGTAGATCAAACTCTAGTCTGACTAGAGAAGATTGAACTCTAGTCTGACCAGAGTATACTGAACTCTAGACTAATTGGTTTAGATACATTTCCAGTCTGGTTAGAGTAGATGAAAATCTAGTTTTACTAGAGTAGATTAATCTATATTTAGTCTGACTAGAGTAGATTGATCTCTAGTCTGAGTAGATTTTTAAACTTTAATTATAATTTGTTTTTTAAAATCCTGTGTATTTTGTTTTAAATATCTAATTGAAGTAAAATTTTCTTTAATTATTTTATTTATAATATTTTTTTCCATTCGCATATTAATATCTGTTGTTTAATTTAGATTCATAAGTCAGTGCCAAAGGTACCAAATAAATTATTTAAAATAAGTATAATAACTTTTGTTTAAATTAACTGAAAATACAAATTATAGTTATAAAAATGAGATATTAAATTAATTGAAATTATAAATGTGTATTAATTAATGATTTATGATTTTCTTTAAAAAAAAAGAATAAACTTTATAATTTGCAATAATAAATAATATAAAAAATATATTTGAAATTAAAAACAAAAAGATTTTAAATGTAACTTAAAGCATATTTCAACTAGAACAAGGATTGATAATAAATAACAATAATATTAATGTTTTTAGGAAGAGATATTAACAAATTAAGGTGGACATCAGCTAGAAGCACAACAAAAGCTAAACTTAGCCTGATTAGAACTTCAATGAAATCTAGAATTGGATTTACAATAAAACCACGATTAAAGCTGAAAGAACTTAAATCTAACAAGGATATAGTTAAACAATTCTGTGACTAGAAACGTTTAAACTATAGATCGAGTAGCTTAAACTCTAGTCTGACTAGATTAAATAAAACTATGGTGAGTCATCATCTTCTTTTATCATTAATATTTCTTATCAAACTTTGACTATTTACCATCATTCAAAGATTTTCTATTACAAAAGCTGTTACTAATTTAAATCTACTCTATTGTTATTTCTGATTAAATCTGTTCCCCTCATAAATTGTTATATTAATATGAAAATCTCTTTAACGACACTTGAAGCTACACAAATCAATAGTTTAATTTAAAATCATTTAATATTTCTTTCAAAAAAACCCTTAATTTACATAAGATTTTTTTTCGTTAACGACTTTTTCCTACCATTTCAAAGACTTCGATTCATTATTTAGCTTATTAATAGTTTTGAAAAAAAAAAGTACAATAAAACAACCCTTTTTTAGAAAAATATATATAAACCACAAGCTAAAGGCACCATAAACGTTTGATCTACCTGTTTAATATAACTGAAATGGCCAGCGAAATACATAAAGTGTACAACATGTATATCTTGGGCATATATATTATTTAACAACATGAGCTATTGATTACCAACTTGTTGACTCATACCCAGAGATGAACACAGAAAAAAGGGAACAAATTTGCTGAAAACACAGAGAAAAATAAATTGAAAGTTTAGATTATAGTCTACACTATAGTCCAGACTATAGACTACTCTATAGTCCAGACTATAGACTACTATATAATCCAGACTATAGACTACTCTACAGTCCAGACTATAGACTACTCTATAGTCCAGACTATAAACTATTCTATAGTCCAGACTATAGACTACTCTACAGACCAGACTATAGACTACTCTACAGACCAGACTATAGACTACTCTACAGACCAGACTATAGACTACTCTACAGACCAGGCTATAGACTACTCTACAGACCAGACTATAGACTACTCTACAGAACAGACTATAGACTACTCTACAGACCAGACTATAGACTACTCTACAGACCAGACTATAGACTATTCTATAGTCCAGACTTTAGACTACTACTATAGACTACTCTACAGTCCAGACTATAGACTACTATATAGTCCAGATTAAAGACTACTCTATAGTCCAGACTATATACTACTCTATAGTCCAGACTATAGACTACTCTATAGTCCAGACTATAGACTAGTCTATAGTCCAGACTATAGAGGACTCTATAGTCCACACAATAGACTATTCTATACTCCTCACGACTCTATACTCCAGACTAGACTATTCTATAGT